GTTCACAGAGGAGCATGGGTTTTGCCAGTACTTCAAGGTCCCCGAAGGGCACCAAAGTGCGGGGGTTGAGAATGCGGACATGGTGCTCTACGTGGCTGCCAGGTCTAATTACGGGGAGTGGGGTCTCCCGTGTGCGTTTGGGACGGATGGTCGTCCAATTGCCGCTGCCCTGCATCTGCTGCCTTCTCAAACGTTGTCCGTCATGCACACCTCTCGCGCGGCTGCGCATGCAATCGCCTATGCCCTTGGCTTCGTCGCGAAGCAGATGAAGGAGCATAAAATGCTGGCGACCGTCTCTGATGTGCGCGGCGGCAGCTCTCTTGTGACGGTGGTGAATTCTCCCGTTACGCTGAATAAAACGAAGGCACACTACGGCTGCGACAAACTGCAGGGCATGGAGCTGCAGGGCTGCGACGGGACGGAGGAATGCTACTTGTCGTTGCGCAACGCGAAGGACGAGCTGATGAGCGTTCATGGCGGGCAGACCGCCGGCTACTACACGGCGCTGACGATGGCAATGTTTGAGGACCTCGGCTACTACAAGGCCGTGTGGGGGATGGAGGAGCCGATGGCGTGGGGCAGAGGCGCGGGCTGTGACTTCCTCGAGAAGCCGTGCTCGGACAAAAGCCCCACCGAGCACCCCGGCATGTTCTGCGATAAAAAGACCGAAGTCAAAACACTTCGCTGCACGTCCGACCGCCAAGCCATCGGTCAATGTGGTCCGAACGTTGCTGGACGCGGCGCCGACCCAAAGGAGACCTGCTCTGTATTTTTCCCACCTCATGAGCAAATATCAGAATTATTCTGCGCTGTGGAGGGAACCAACGCACCGCCCGGATCCCTCCATGGGGGTGGCTCGTGGTGCCTCGATGCGGAGACACTGGAGGCCAGGAGCAAGGCGACTGACAAAGACTACACCGAAGTGCACGCGGTGTGTGCGGGGGTGCAGTGCGAGGCGGGCAAAGTGAAGGTGAAGTACCTCGGCGGCGACGCGTGGCAGGAGTGCCCCGAGGGGACGTCTATCACGCCGAAGTCGGCGTACTTCAAGGACGGCGGCAAGATCAAGTGCCCGAAGTACGAGGAGGTGTGCACCATGGCCGCCAACGGCAGCAGCCTCGTCAAACTCAGCTCCCCAGACACGGACGGCAAAAAAGCGACAAGGACGGCAAAAAAGAGGACAAGAACGGCAAAAAAGACAAGGATGGCAAAAAAGCCGACACGGGCGGCAAAAAAGAAGACAAGGGCGGCAAAAAAGAAGACAAGGACGGCAAAAAAGGCGGCCACGATGGCAGTTCTGCTGTTGCTGTTCTCTCCAGTCTGCTTCTTCTCGCCACGGTCACCGCGGCGGCGGCGGTAGTGCCGCTTTGAACAGCAGCCGCAGCGGCCGGGCGCAAGCACCGCGCAGCAGGGCAATAATGCGGGTCCGCCTCTAACGGAACAGGCGTCC